AACAACAACAACAACAACAATAATAACATAACATATTACCTCTTTATTAGGGTGTTGTTTTTATTAGGTGCTGTCAAGTTGAGTATAACTAACTCTGGCCCTATGAACAACAGATCTGAATCCTATCCTAACCTATGCCATCTGATACACTTAAGCCCATTGCCACAGTCACATGTCAGTCCAACTCATTGGGGCGTGGGTGTCTTCCTCCCTTTTCCTGACCTTTCATGTTTCCAAGAACTATGTCTCTTTTCAAGGAATAGTCTCTACAAGCAACATGTCCAAATATGAGAGACTAAGCTTTGCCATCCTTACCTCCAATTAGCACTCTGGCTGCATCCTTTCTAAGACATACCTCTTCGTTCTTTTGGCATTCTATAGGATATTCAGTACTCTTCTCCAGCACTACAACTCTCAAAGGTATCAATTATTCTTTTATGATTCTTATTCATTGACTAGCTGTCAGACATATAGCAAGTATTGGAAAAGATCATGGCCTGAATCAGGCGCATCTTAGCCTCCAAACTGACATCATTGCTCTCCACTATTTTGGAGAAGTCTCTGACAGCTCATGTGCCCAAAGAAGCATGTCTGTTTATCTCCTGGCTTTTGGTATCAAGGATGTTGATTGTGGATCCAAATAAGATGAAATCATTGGCAGTTTCAATCCTTTCTCTGTCATGATTTTACCTACTGGCCCAGGGTGTAGGATCTTTGTTCTCTTGATATTAAGATATATTCTATACTGAAGGCTGTATTCATTGATCTTTTCAGCAAGTACTTCAAGTTTTCCTTACTTTCAGCAAGTAAAGTTGTGTCATCTGAATAATACAGGTTGTTGATTAACCTTCCTCTGATCCTGATGCCAAAATTCTTTGTCACAATGTCTGGTTTGACAAATAATTTTCTCAGCATACAGATTACATAGGTATGGAGAAAAGATACATGCCTGATGTATACCCTTCCTGATTTTAAACTAAACAATGTCCTTTTGCTTCATCAGACAGCAGCTTCTTGGTCTAGGTATAGGTTTCATATGAGCATAATTAAATGTCTGGCATTCCAATTCTTTTCAAGATTAGTCATAGTTGGGTTTTTGTGGGTTTTTTAATTTACTATTTTGTGATTCACAAAATATGCATTTGCATATTCTCTTAAACACAGATAGACACTGATCATGTATTCTCTGTTTCTAGCCAGGACCCATCTGACATCATCAATAATATCCTTGGTGTTATGGCCTCTTCTAAACCCAGCTTGAACTTCTAGTAGTTCCCTGATGGACATTTTAAAATAGGATGATACCCAGAATTAATATTTAAAACATAAAAAAATTACTAAAGGGAAAGTTATTTGGAAGGTGGGCAAGAACTGGGCAACAAAATTCTTACAATTTAATAAATTGATCTGCATAGATCAAATTGCCTTTGGTTTGAGGTGGGCGCATTTCTGCTGGTGATGATCAAAAAAAAGAAGGCAAATGATAAAGCAGAAGCTGCATACTATAAACCCACCCCAGAAATACTGCAGGCTGGTGGCCATCACCATATAAAGGGATCTATGCAGTCCCAGGATGAAAAAGAACTATGTGTCTACATTCTATTTCTGTCCTTACAAATTTCTGATTTTTTTTGTAGCTATCTAAGAAAAATTTGATATTGTTGTTGTCTAAGCACATTTAAACTTCAGCTGAAATAACTGCCAAGTGATTCATGCCTATGGAGGTGAATATAATGATCGTATCTGAAGCCCCCGTGCACCATTTTCATTTCACTTTAAATAAAAAACAAAATGTATCTATGTCAGTCAGTGCCCTTCTGCTGTACTCAGAGGTATCAAACAGGCTACAATTATGATTGTGAAGTGATTGTGTCACATTGGAGGAAGGTTTATTGCTTTTGAGTCTGCTAGGCAGTAACACATTCTGTTTCATATTACTCTTTATATCATTGTTTGGCTGTGACTGGAATAATCAAATGCCATCAAATGCTGTCAAATTCAATTTACAGTATTTTTCATTGAAGCGGGCTTTCTGCATTATATTTCCTGTTTTCTCTCTCTCTAGCTGCCATGGAATAGTCACTGTAATCATGAGCTTTATTTACAAAACCAACAGAGTGAAGCCACGTCCTGGTCTATAAAAGATACTTTCTTTCCCTTTATTCAGAATCGGAATTTGATGTGCTTTTCTCATACAATTAGCATTAAGTAGATGAAAGAAAACTATTTCTAGAGGTAGGGCATTTTAGAGCCTGCACTAATGTGCTTAGCATAAAAAATAAATTCACACTAGCCATTTTTAAATGTTCATATGTATTTGAATCTGAAATATTATTCCTCAATTAATGTTTGCCAGAAGATATCTGGCTTGCTTGTTGTGGGTAGTGAAATTTACATAACCAGAAATACAATAGTATTTTTTCCCTTCATAATTTCCCCACAAATCCTTAGTTCATCACTGAAGATCAATTGGAATCAAAGGTCATCTAGAGTTAGTGTCAAGATTTAAGAGAGGCTAAAGTAAATCTCAGTGTGTACCCAGGAGGAGAACCAAGTAGGAAAGACCGGAGGATACTCAGGGGGACCAACCAGAGGGGTCTGAAGTGGGAGATGAGGATCTAGAAATACACTGCTTTGGGAATGGGATCTTCAGTCTCCAAATCCTTTATGTCTGCCTGTCTGTGTTTTCTGTCTTTGAAAACAAGCTCTCAGCCAACAGTTCTTACTTCCCTTGACCCAGTGTTTTCTTTTCCCTTCTTCCCTGCTCTTTCCTAATTCTCTCCTTTCTTCATTCCTTTTCTCTTCCTTCTTTTCTTAATTTTAAGTAGGTTAACTTTAACAAATTTAGCATATTTAGCTAGTTGAGCAAGAAACACTGGTGGTGTAGTATGTTACAGGCCAGGTTGCTAACAGAAAGTTTGGCAGTTTGAGTTTATTGGCCACTCTGTGGGAGAAAGAGATGGTAATGAGTTATTACCTTGGAAACCCATTGGAGGGTCATTGTGAATTAGAATTACCTTGATGGCAGTGGGTTAGTCATCTGAATGGAGACTCAGTCATGCATCTAGAGGAATCTTCACATATGAAAAGCAACATCTTCTTACAAATTTTTTTAAAGCAACATCTTTTGAGGAGGAGAAGAAGTTGCTCAATCTCTTTGTAATAAGAAGAAACAGGATTAAAGTTCTTCTTTCTCTGCAGCTACAATGTTTGCTGTCTTGGCCATAGAGAAAGTCTGTTCTATCACTTCATCAAATGTAAGGAAAGCTTCTATGAGCTAAACTAACGTGTCTTGTCTCAACCAATATTACATGGTCGTTATGACTTTTCCATGGACAATATGAAAAATTACTTAGCACTAGGATTAGTTTATAGGTAGGAACTAATACACACACACACACACACACACACACACACACACACCAAGACAAACAAACAAATAAACAAACAAACAAACAAATTCCACCAACAAAAAACCCCAAACTAAACAAAAAACTAGCATATGCATTTCCATACAGTTCTTTATGGAACTAGAAAGCATACTTAATTCTCTGGGCTATTATGCATTCTAAGATAATGGAAAACAAAGTGATGATTCATTTTACCTGTGAATAAAGTAGTTGTTAATGACTCCATTTGGTTTCTTAGGTGGTAGCCATGCAACTGCTATGCAAGCTGATCCCAGTGCCTTCAGAACAGGGGGATTAAGGCCCACTGGGACTGCTTCAGATGTTTTAACAAATATCTTATTGCTAACTCCACAACCTCCTTGAAGAAAAAAATAGACACTTTCAGTAACTTATCAAACAGGGGAAAGAGTTGCGTATTCATATGGAAAGGTAAGTGTGTAACAAATCAATCCACCTGAGTTTTGAACATACATTTGTACACATATTCCAGACTAGTATTATAAATCTACATAGAAAAAAAATTTGTACTTGCTGTTGTGTACCATCGAGTTGGAACTGACCCATCACTGAACCTCCAGCGGTTTTCATAGGCAATTAATTGCACAAAAGGAGATTATCCATACTCCTGTGGAGGAGCTGGTGAATTTGAACCACATGCCTTTGGAATTGTAGTGCAGTTTCTTACAATGTGTTAATTACCATGTATTTACACAGGCCTTGACCATTAAGGGTCCACTTCTCTGAACCATGTTTGCTCTATTTTATGGCAGTCATTCTAGCCAGAAAAGGATGTTTGAATTTCACACATGTGCATCACTAACACACTTGTACACTCTTAATATTTCATTTTGGTCAATATTTTTTTTAAAAAATAACCTGTTTTTAAAACAGTAGAAATAATAATAGTCATCCTAATTTGAAATTATTGTATCTTTACCACACAGTTTCATGGACACAGGGATACAGAAGCTGATGTTACATTTAAATCAACACAGCAGTATGTTTTTTTCTATAATTATATTTTATTAATTTTCATAAACATTTACAGAGATTTTGGGTTTCCATTCATTCATTGTTGCAATATTCTCTCTACCCTCCTCCCAGTTTGTTCTTGTCCAAATGCCACAGTGCTTGTCAAAGCCAGTTCTGATTAATCTTCTTTGTCAGTGTGTCCTTTGCCATTCCCTATCACTCCTCCCTGAGAGAGACTTCACCCTGAGTCCATGTTGATCAGGCAAAGACAAATGTGGGGAATGTAGTGATCTTCAAATTAAAATGTGATTGTCTCTGTCATTCTTTGTTATAGATTACATTATAAATCTCAAGTGTATTCAAGATGGTGAGGATGGGACAGGTTTAGGATATGATACAAATGTGTTGTTCAGAGGACCATTATGAGTCATACTCACCTCAACTGCACCTAACAAAAACAATTTATCGGTATATATGAATATATAATATAAAAACCTATATTATATGTATTACAATTATATAAATGAGTAAAACATTTTCGCTCTCTATTGGCTCTTCTTCATAGCAAGCTAATGCCCCAAAACCAGCCAGTGCTAATTCTAAATTTGTACGTATCTAGTTTTTATTTTTTTAAAATTATTATTAAATTTTATTAGTTTTAATGAACATTTACAGATCGTATCTAGTTTTTAAATAAAATATATACTTGTTTATAAAATAGCCCAGATAATCAGATTTGGAGCCACTTGGATCCTACCTGCTTTATATATACTGAAATACTCTACGTAACATTTACTAATCCAAGATAACATAAGACATTATAGTCATTAAGAAACAAAAATAAAATGTAATGTGGCATTTTTAGAGCAAAGTGGAATAACAGACTCAGATGTACCTCCTCTTAGGTCTTCCTAAATTTCTGAAATGAAGCAAAGGTATCAGAAAACCTGATAGTCCTAACTGGTTCTATGCCAAATAACATTTATTTGGAAATGGAAAGTACCAATAACTTGGAAACCTAGGGGCTCCAGTTATAGGTAAATATCCCAAAATTTTTGCTGTCAAGTAAATTATGACTAATATGACTCTATATGAGACAAAACTGCCCACAGGATTTCCAAATATTTTGCGGAGTATAAATTGTCATATCTTTTTTTCTCACAGAACAATTGGCATTCAAAATGGTGACCTTTGATAAGCTTTTGTGCCTCGAGTCAGAACCTACCCAATAGCTGGCCCTCCAGTGGGTTTTCAGAGATAGTAAACTTATGGGAGGAGATTGCTCCTCCTTCTTCCCTGGAGCAACTGGTGGATTTGAATTGTGTGCATTTGTGATTGTAGCACATCATCAGGGCTCTCTACACATGTAAGATTGATAAGATTTATTCACTTTAAGGTGAACCAATTTGTACTCAAGCGTGAGCAACACATTTTCTCTTTTATTTTATATGGGCATTCTAATGGCATAATATAGGGAGTTCTGGTGGCCTAATGGCAAGGTGCTGTGCTGTCAATCCAAAGGTACAAAATTCAAATCCACTATTTTCTCCACAAGAGAAAACTGGACAATCTCCTCCTGTGGGATTCACTGCCTCTGAAAACCAATGGAAGATTTTCTATGAGTCAACTCTGACTCAATAGCACATAACAACAACAGTGGCACGGTGAGTAAATAGAGAATAATGGTGCTGTTAATCAAAAGGCCTTGAGTCTCTGAAGTTCAAATCCATCAGTGGCTTCAAAGGAGAAAGATGGGGATCCTCTTTTCATTAAAATTTTTTGTCTTGAAAATCTAAGGGAGAGTAACTATGAGTTGGAACCAACAAGGTGACAAAGTTACATTTTGTTTTACCATGTCTCTGCTCACACAATCTCATATTACTTAATCATTTAGAAAACCATTTTGACAAATGTATTTAATTGAGAGCCCCCAAGTTGCCTAGTGGTAAGAAGCTGTGCTGCAACTCTAAAGGCTTGGAGTTCAAAATTATTAGCTGTTCTGTGAGAGAACGGTGGGCAGTCTCCTTCCATGTGACTTACTGCCTCTGGAAACCCACTACAAGGTCAGTTAGGGTCAGTTCCAACTTGAAAGCACACAGCAACAACAATAAGAAAGATGCAAATGGTTACTTTTTTCACTATCAGCTGACATTTCGGCTGTTTCAACCAATTATAAGATGACTTAGAAGACTGTTTCTTGGGAAGTAAAGAAGATGCCTTGGAAAGTAAATAGTCTTGAAAGTAAATGGTTCTAGTCTTGCACACATGGAGTTGCCATTCGGTGGAATTGATTCAATGACAGAAATCAATGACAACAACATCTATTTAATATGTAATGACAACACCTAACACAATGTGTCACTCTCTTGATTGTTTGCTAATCAACTGCCTTCATAAATTTTAGTTTACAATTAAACTTTTTAAAAATACTGGTTTATTAGAAAGTTCTTATATGTTAGATCATATTGGGTCTTTCCAATTTCCTTTTATCCATTTGGAAGGATGAATGGATTGGAGACTTTCTTCCTAAGGACAACACTGGTGATGTCTTCACTGACCACTAGGGTAAACTGTGAAATAAAAACTTTAGTGATGTATGTGACACAGTGTTCAGGCCTTAACCATTATAAAATTTGTAAGATCTACTAAAATTAATAATTTAAAAAATCATCCAAAAAAAAAGAAAATTAGGGAGCAGAAAAGGAAAGGGAGGGGGGAAAGTGCATGAATAAGTGAATTAAAATACAAAAAAAAATTGTAAGATCTATCTGGATGTGGGTCAACTTCTAAATAACTATTTCCATCCATTTCTGAATAAAATTTAAATAAAACCAACAGAAGTACATTTTTTATGGGATTTTTGTAATGCTCATTTTATTTTACATTACCAGTGACTCTTTTATGTGAGCTAGGTGTTTTTCTTTTAAAGTACCTTATAAAACAAGACTTTGCAAAACCAACATTTTCACATGTTTAAATATTCATGATTTAATGTGCAAAAATGCGTAATGCTTCACTCAATGCCAGACTCTGATTTTCCTGGGTAAACAAACAGTCCACCACACATATGAAATGAAATGTTAGTCTTTTTTATTTGAATCTATTAAAATTCCAAAATCTGTGACTTTTTTTTTAAATGAAATCCTTTCTCAGTTCCAATCAGTATAGGAAAGACACTCACCATTTTGGCATGCTTGGACCCTAACCTCATACTGTGTGAACGGGGTCAAATTTTCCAGGCGGATGGAATGATGGTGACCAACAGGGGAGACCAGAGGTGCTTCACTTCCAGCATTAAGTAAAATATTGTACTCCACAGGCATTTGGGGGATGAGAATCCCTGTAGAGGGAGAGAGAAAGAAATTTTTTTTTTTTTAAAAAAAGAGAATTAAAATATATGCTATACAGAATTGCAGAGAAATGCTTGTCCTTTCCAATAATATATATTTTAAATTTGGGAGAGGTATATTGCTGCTTAAATAGATGAAAGCTGCATGAACATGTTGTTGTTGTTGTTATGTGCCGTCGAGTCGTTTGCGACTCATAGCGACCCTATGTACAACAGCCCTAAACTCTGCTCTATCCTGTGCCAATAGCACTGCCTCTGACACACCCATCCCGATTACCCCAGTCACTGAATCAATTCACTGCATAGTGGGTCTTCCCTTCTTGCGCTGTTCCTCCACCCAACCAAGTGTGATGTCCTTCTCCAAGGACCCGTCCCTCCTGGCAACATATCCAAAGTATGTCAGACGAAGACCCAGAATCCTTGCCTCCAAGGAGTTGCTTGGATTAATCCATAGGTTAGAAAATATAATGTATTTCCAAATCTTAGAAATACATTTCACTTAATTTTAATAAAAATGAGGTACAACAGTTCCATTTTGAGATAAGCTTTTTTGTCAAATATAAATGAAGTGACAATGTTTGACTTTTTAAAAGCTAATTTAGGAAATTAGGATTGGTGTTGTACACTTTTTCTAGGTTTACTTATTCTTAAAGCACACAAACAACACCAGTTTTGCTTGGAACGATAATTTTTCTGTATAATGTTTGTTGTAGGCATTTTCTCATATATGGATCCTCTATATAATAATAGCTCACAAAATATTCAAACATATACTACCTACAAAATGCACAGTATTGCTGGAAGAGGTCTATATTTGTTCCTATCCCAAAGAAAGGTGACCCAAC